CACCAACATCTCATCACGTACACTAGAGCGCTTGGGAGATTGTGATTGGATTGGATGCGAGAGTTCAACGGTGTGCGCGGGTGTTCTACGCGAAATGGTAGCTTTACGAACGTGGCCCACTTGGTGGCTGTTATGTCGTTTAGAGCACTGTTAGCTGTATTGGTAGAAGTTGACGGGTCCTTAGAGGTTGACGAGTCGTCTCTTTATTTCCATGGATATAAGTTCATGTCGTATGAGGCTCTGCTGCTGTGGTCTCATGTTTGAAATTTTTCGCTTGCTGACCGAGCAGCTATTGGATAGGAAGAAAGAATTGTAAGGGACCGAAAATTAGAGCATCTTGGAGTTAGGAAGAAGGGTTTCCAAAAACAAACTACCTAAATACACAAGTCCGTAGAGCTCAAAGACAAAACCTTGAATCGAATTTGGGTTATTTAACTCAATCAAGTACTGCCATTCATAAACCGCAAACATAAGACCACTTTTAAGTACCTCTTCTCACCTTCCCAATCCCCCATCAAACAATCGGCGCAAAAAAGTTAAACTTCCCAAACGGATCATACTCCCTCTTTAACCCCCTCAACCTCTCCAACCTCCACTCCTCAGGCCCATACAGCTCCTCAACCGTCTCATCCCCCCTCGCATAATTAACATACGCCTTCCTCGGCTCCCCCGTCCCCTTGGCCATCACATCCCGGATCCTCCCCTCAACCTCCCACGCCTCAGCATCCAGACTCTCATTCCGCTCATACGTCATAAACGGCGAAAGCAGCAACTGGCCCTCACGGTTGGGATACGCGGTGCTATCGCTTGGTATAGCGCTCACGCGGTTCGTTGCGTAGCCTTCGAGAAGAACAACGGTTTGGTTGAGTGAGGGCGGGAGGGAGGCCATTATGATGAGGACTTCACGGAAGGAAGGGGGGTCGTAGGTGGTTGCTGAGACGGGGACGACAGAGCGGGTAAGACCTTTTTCGCAGGATGTACCGGTTCGGTCCGCACCTGTGAAGCGACTTACGCCTGCGAGGTCGGTTTGGCCGGATGTGCTAGTGGCGGGCGACAGAGCGTATAGGGGTTCAGTGTATTGAGCTGGGATGCTGGTACCTTGGTAGATTACGAAAACAACGACGACGGGCTAGGAGAGTTAGAATTTGTCGACTTAGTGGGGAAGGGAGGGCGGCGTGCTCACATTAGTTGTATCGATCTTTGGGTCGAAGTAGAACATTATGTAGTGTTCTAGTTCGACTGATCTATTGGGACTTTCTAACCAGGTATTCACGATACCAACGATGCTTTCCATTTTATCATGGGTGAAGGATAATACATCGACGGCCCAATTGTCAAGACTTGGCTCCCGGTCGTAGATTTTGATCTCAGCTTGAGTTACAATGCCAAAGTTGTGGCCAGCGCCGCGGATCGCCCAGAACAAGTCAGGATTGCTCTCTTCACTCACAGTGATAGCGGTACCATTGGCAAGCACCATACGTGCAGAGACGAGCTGGTCGGCTGCGAGTCCGTACCGGCCTTGGTTCCAGCCGTGTCCGCCACCGAGAATAGGGGAAATGTAGCCAACGCAGGCGCACGCCGTGGTCATGGTTTGCTTCCCGTGAGCCCACAAGTAGTCAAGGACATCTCCGTTGAGGATGCCACCTCCGATGAGAGCAGTGTCACCATTCTCCGTAATCGATATATCCTTCATACCACGCATCAAGATGCCGACGGCATGCTCGACATTGTTGAGGTACGCTGTAATCGCATGGCCCCCTGAGATAGCGTGGAAAGACTTGTTATTCGCATTGGCGTACCATATCTAGTCGACTGTAAGCTCGAAAATATAATATCAAAAGCAAAAAGTCATCTAACCGTCTCTTGTACATCTGCCTCGGTTGCAGCTTTGACAATTATGTCGTATTGTGGGGTCTGCCCAGCGCCCCACCGTAGCGTTGCATTAGTATATTCTTCTGACCCAGGAAAATAAATTTGGGCTGTGGGGCTCAGTGAGGCCACAAATTCTCGTAGAGAGTGAGCCGATGACGGAGGTGTTGCTGAAACGAGGCTGACTGTATAGACAGTCCAAGCCCACAAAAATCTGCACAACATGTCTGCCCAGGCAGAAGATTAAGCTGTAGACACTTTGGATATGTAACTCTGCTCCTTGGAAAAACTTTTCTTGTTTTGTTTTCTCTGTTTAATGGTGGGAGCTGGTGTCTTTTCCTGTGTCGCCGTTCGTATCCCGTTCCCAGAGTGTCAGAGGAAAAAGAAACCACAAGTCATATGTCCATCACTTTGGTACTCCTAATGCACGAATAGCAAGTTAGAAGAAAAAGCATTCACCCCATGGCATTAAGAGCGAAATTGAACCGAATAGCCGTTCCCATTGTGCTTATCATAAATGCCGGGTGCACCGGATCGCCGCGGTGTTGTAGCGCTAACACATGACTACAGCGATCAAACTGATTGCCGTTTGCCAGCGAAAGACTAATGTTGGACTAAGAACATTCGAAAGCGAGATACCTTCCAGAATCATTGATGAGAGGGATGATCTCAAGTGAAGATCTCGAATGAACGCCACTAGAACGATTGTCTGGTTCGATGTCAAGGATAAGCGAGAAGTAGCAGCATCTAGTACACACCCGGGCCGTAAGTTAGAAAGCCACTGGCGAGCTGCGGTTCCGTCGTTCTGATGCGGGGATCGCCTTGTTCTGACGAACTCTTATTTACGGCCCGATTGCATGCGCTACTTACTGGGAATGGGTAAGAGATCAGCCTCGCAGCCGGGGAACAAGAGAGACGCGGTTGTCTGTTCCGTTCGTTGGTTTTTATCAAGCCATGGTAGTAGTGCTGGTTAGTAGGATGGCAAAGCTGGGGCGAACCGTCCTGGGCAGATGTGGACCTTGTGATAACAAAAAGGTTATCTGTGTTCTTCTTTGGTCTGCCTCACTATTGAGTCAAGCCCCCGATATACCTCGGAGCCCGTGCTGCTCGGAGCCACGCTATTGTCAGAGAGGCTTTCTCAAAACCTTGAAAACCTCAGCTGATATTTAGGCTTACGGATTCATGATGTGATTCTAAGTAATATTCGCTGCCGTCGTCAATCGACATGTGTCATGATATACGCACATGGAGGTGTCTGAGATTGTAAACCTTATGGCCACGAGAACGACAGCATCCTTGTTGTGACAGGTTCGGAATATTTGCCAAAAGCCATGGCATTCATACCATGCATCGCCGATCCGGCTCGCTTCTTAACTCTCCGCCCCGAGTGTCCATGCTCAGGGTCGGAGGTTTTGGTAGCGAGTCTTATCCCAGCTCCGGCTCTATCATCAAAATGATTGTAGTTGCTGTATAGTACGATACTCTCCTGGCATCGTAGGCCCAAAATGAACCCGGATATGGATCGCGCAGGGACATTGTCACCGGCCTCCCCACGGACTTAGCATTACGTATACGTAGATTTGACCATGTACTTATTTAAGCGACGAACGGCTTGCTACAGACCCTAGTTTTACGTGTCGCGCATTGAATACGAGATGCCAATGTAACACAACGGGCTCGTCCGTACCTGCTTCCGGCTTTCCTGCCTCGCAAGTTTCTTGGTATTTTCCTTGTATACGGGGAATCTTCAGAATGAATCATTTCGCATTGGTACGCTGTCGTTCGCTCCTGGGCATAAGACGGACAGACAAGCCGGATTAAGATACCCGGACGAGTTCCATCTGTCGCCCAAATCCACGCAAAACCAGTGGACGATGTCGACACTCCGCCACGTAATCCATTTATTGAGACACTGAACTTTTCTCAACCCGCGTCATCGAGTTGAGGCCATTGGTCGGGGCGAGGCGTCCAAACTGACTCGTCCAATGCAGGTACGCACCACCACCGGTTTTGCCTTTCGGACCGAGAGGACAAAAAATGTTTAGGCGCTTTACGCCTACGGAAACAATAACAGCGAAGGCGTGCGTACTAGACCTCTCCTGGATAATACAACGTGTGTTGGAAGTCGAATATTCAATTGCCGAGCTGAAAAGACTGGCGTTCTTGTAAGAGCAAGTGAGCCGCGAGGTGCGAGGCATGTGCAAGCGTGCATGGGTGCATGTGGCCAGTGGGAAGATGGTGTCCGGGCGGAGGTAAGAGATAAGATATGGAATATTACATACACCCGAGGGGTAAATATCTGCAAATTCTATTCTGATACTCCAAGCATAAGGGCGCTAAGAATGGTAAGCAAGGGTTTGTTGGGTATACGTACATATAGATTTGTTGCTTAATGTGACCCCGTGGATTTGGTGGTGGTGATGATATTCGCTCCATATGCCCGTGCCTCGCCATCATGCGCTACGCATGGGTTGCCATTCTACAGTCTCCATACATCTTCATTGGCTGCTGTCGCGTCGCATGTGGAACTCGTCCTGTGATCACCAATTCTCCTTTCTCATGCATGATAGCCGTGTACGCAGCCCGACGGACCCGTTGCCTGCATGAGTCGGGCTGCCTGCCGCCGCTGTCAAACTCCTGCCAAACCCATCCATCCTCTCGGTGCGTCTGTACTTAGTCTGAGGATACGGATCGACTGACGACGGTAATTGCGATCTACTCGAGAACCGTACCGGTAGGTGCTGGAATGTGAAACTTGGGGACACTAGCATTTCCTAGTCTGTCCATTATAAAAATGCGGAGCTCTTCCCGTCATCGAGACCCTTTGTTCCAGACGGTCCGTTTCCCCACTATACTAGTCTGGGAACTAACCGCAGCGAACACACTACAAGCAAAGTCATTCACACAACGTGTGCCCCCTTTACCGAGCGAACAAGGCTCCTAAATCAAGCGTAAACCCACGCGGCACAGGCCGTACCTGCTCTCTTAGTTCCCATCATCTTGGCACTTGACCGCCGTTTTGATCATATCTCTTGCCCTGTTGTTGTATACTTGCTTCCCAAGTTCCCGCCTCCCTTACATAACCTTTCTACCATTACTTCGGAAACTACTCATCGAAAGAGCTCAAAAAAATGTCGAGAATCGCAGTTGTCTGGTCAGGTTTAAACGACGATGACGAGGAAGCGCAATCCTGGTACGAAAACAGGCATGTGCCTGCTACTATTGCGAAGATTGAATCTTCAGCGCGCACCGCAGAGCAAACTCCCGAGAATCCGTTCCAAGAAGTGAAAGAGGTCAACGGCAAGCACATGACCATTTACGACTTGCCTGAGGAAGAGTCGATAGAAGATTTCGAGGCGAAGATTGGCCCGACGTTGGGCGACGTTCCAGTCGGCGCACGCTTGAACACTCGATCTTACAAAGAATATTTCAAGATTCACGGCGACGAATGGAGAGACGGTATGTTTGCTCCACAGGCTCGCCCAAACAAAGTGGTACTATGAAAGCTGACACCCTACAACAGACCCTCGCGATGTTCGAATGTGGGCCATAGTCCTTTGGCAGCCGAAACCAGAAGTTTACGACGAATTCATAGAATGGTTCATAGACCACTTCATCCCCGGAATGCTCGACAGCCCCGAATTACTGCGCACGCGCGTATTTACACTCGAGCATGCAACGAATGTCCGAGCGCAAAAGTACGAACCAGTAGACAAAGACTCTCTCCTGAGATTTTTGACCATCTGGGAGTTTGACAGTGAAGAATTCCCATGGGAAATCCTGGTTTATCTCGGCAGTTCAGAGAAGTGGCGATATTACATGGAAGGCGGGCTGGTGGTATGTTGCAAATATTACAGGAAAGTGAAGATGCGAAATTGCTAACGTTTCAATACAGGATTGGGAGATTGCGCAATACATGGTAAAGAACAACTATCCTGGAACGGAAGAAGAAAAAGATTCTGCGATAGCGAGCCCAGGAGTGCCCTGCCCGTAGTCGCTAGAGAATCGTAAAACAAGCATTCTTTCGGAGGCTGATATTGCATAGGAATATAGGGACGGGGACGAGGACGAGGACGACGAGTACCAAAGCGGGGACGAGGACAGATACAGCGAAGATCAAAATAGCGAGGACCAGGACAGGGACGAAGACAAGGACCATCGCAACGGCGTACACCAGGACAGTGACGAGGAAAAGGACCATCGAAATGGCGTAAACCATTTTAGCGAGGATGATGACATAGAAAGCGAACGAGGTTATACCGATCGATATGTGATAAGGTAACGAGCTGGATGAACGGACCGGCTGCCTGGGGTCGGAGCTTTAATCTTCTTTTTCCTTTCAGTACCATTATCTTTTCTGTGTATGTATACTTTGCGAGTTGTATGCATAGCGCAATACGTAACTGTCTAGTTCTTGAGTATGTTCCTCCTGCTTGGAATTTGCGAAGGGGCACTGGGCATACTTGTTGTTTTTGTGGAGCAGTCTTCCAGCTTACTAGCATGTGTGCACATGTATTTAGAGCGAAGGATTGGTGGTCTCGTATGAACGTTATGTATGGACGGGTAAAAAGTTCAATTCTGGATTGGCCTCGTTTCGAAAAGTATGGGGCCCAGTTGAATGAGTTGGGTCATGACGATATGCTGCAGGCGTATACTTGATTAATTTCGATGTTGGATCTGAAATGTTTGATTTTAACAACATTGAGTGATGTTGAGCTGGTTGGAATGTTCCAGATGATGCTTTAGCCCGCCTCGGGATGCATGATGACGGGCATTTGACGCACAGCGATCACCCATGCAGGCACCCTGTATGTGGCTCCACACTGCTTGTGTAGAACCGACGCCGAAAGGAGATTTGCCGACTCTTGCCCCGTCATACCGGGTTGGATAAATGGACTATCGGACCCGTCCAAAACAACGGACCCCTGTGACAGCTGATATCCACCGTTACTTTCTTCTGTCTCAATATTGTTACAAGCTACAATGGAACGAGCATCCATACCAACGATTTGGAGCACCGAATGCTTTCGTATTGTAGGTCTTGCAGGTTTCCGACTAGACTGTTTTCCAGGAACAGGGAGCGCGTTCGACTGTTGGGCCTCTGGCTCACATCGAGCGGGTTGGTCCTTTAGGCAAAGTCCTTTGCGATCTTCAAGATCCCTCTGCTGGCCCACGCTTCGAGTAGAACTGGGACACGATTTACCAGTTCTTATAACACGATGCAGGCCATATAGAATACGTCGTAGAATCTGAATCATTTTAATTCTCTGACGTGGAATAGACTCCCTGTTCAATGAGGTACTGGGGGACTGTGCGAATGCTGCAGAATCTGCCCCACACTGTTGTTGAAATGCTTTTTAGGCATGGTCTTGCTTTTCCCTAGCCCCTGTTCCGTCTGGGGTTCTCGAATCGTTCGCCTCAAACTCTAACCCCTGTCACAATTAACTGTTTTCGGTACACCGATGAAGCCTACTCTCTTGTAGTCATCAAGATCGGCGCGTTCCACGTTCACGTAGTGACGTATTTTGTGGCCTACACAGGTTCGTATCTGGTACCCAGATTTGTAGACGAACAATCGGCCTTTATTTTCACTCTTATGTCTACTCGGTACGCAAAACATCGTGAGTGTGCGGCATCAGTGTTCGCAGGCTCCTTTGGGTTGAGGGATAGGAGAACCCTGAAAGCACCTCGCACGCTGCATTTCGCGAGAGCTTCGAATACTAAAGACATTTTAAGTAAATAAGAGCCAGCAAGAAAGATGCTAATAGTATTGGGTTGCTTACCATGTGGATGCCTGCTAGTCTCCGTACGTATTTGGGATGCGCGTGGTTACTGCAATGGCAACCGAAAATACAAATACAATAATGTTTGTTTTAAACCCGCCTGTGAGAAGCCAGTAAGAACATTGCCGTGTCTCGGAAGAAACCACTGGCGCTTGGTATACCTGGTTCCCTAGTGCTGTTCTCAAGTCAATATGACAAGGAAACTCGACCGAAAGAAGACGGTCGCATCTTCTGTTACGTGCAATAGCGTAACAGCTTCATTACTTGAGTCAAGGAAGAGATCAATATGAGTGCAGCCCATGTGGGTGTAGTAGTTCCTCAGAATATTCCAACAAAAAATCATGTGCAGCGACTGGGGTAAAAGGGTCAGAAGTCCATGGTACACTGATTTCGAGAACTTAGGAGAAGTGTTCTAAGAGCGATGTTGTCGTTCCGTACGTTGATACCCCACTTCGTACGTCATAAAAAATCATGTTGTACTAACTAATCCCCAGCACATGATAGGCTTGCCCTGATTTAGGGTTCCCAGGCTCATTCCAACAAGCGATGAAAACCCTACTCAGCTTCATGCTTACTGAAGCCAGTGATGCATTCAGGCGTGGGCAATATGAGAGATGTCGCCTAGGCTCCACGGTCAATTAACGGTCCTTAGGGAGCACGCAGATATCTATGATACCAAGCCAGAAAAAACGAAAACAAAAACAAAAGGAACAATCATTGATGTACTATTCTCGATGGTCGAGTGATATACTACTCTTCGAATCGCAGTAGCATGAAATTGGATACAGTGTAAGATTGTAAATTCATACTAATGAATGAAACCTCTCACGGTCGGACACCGAAGCGCATCGCACTCAGCTGCCTCCCACCCAGCTCAAAGTCTTTTGACTCTCGCAGCAACATAGTATTCGCGCATAGTTTCTTCGCAGCTAACATGCATGTTCGACGCAGACCCCAGCAAATGAGCGACGATACTAGTTGAGCGAAACCCCCAAATCATCGTACGAGCAGGTCTACTACTTTCAGCCTACCCAATCTCGTCAAATGTTTGCATTACTCCTCCGGGTCACGGCCACCACGCTTCCTCATTTCCTCCAGGTACTCTTCTTCGGTCTCAAGATCGAACGGTACAGGTCTTGTGATGGGGTTAATTGAAGTCTTGTGTTCTTCAAGCTGTTTAAGTCGTCGAGCAGTTTCTGGCTTGGTAGTGTTGACGCTGTAGAGCTTGACGCGGCTATTGAATGTGTTAGTGTGATAATCTCGAAAACTAGCAACGAGGTTCTTGGGGGATGACCTACTGGCAAGAGGATGTCACATGAAGATCCCAGTTCCTATCCAAGGTCAGTGTGATTCGAGAGCGGTGGACTGGGCAATGCTTACCATGCGCTTCGTACGAATGTTGGTTGGGTCTAGAGTTCGTGTCAGCAAATGACCTTTCCGCAGCAGCAGAAAAAAGCGCTATCCGATATCGGTAGACGCATGTTTTGCAAGTCACTTACGTTTAAAGCATCATCCCAGCAACGCACACAAAACTCGCTGATATATTGTTAGTTTAGGCGACCAAGCACATAGGGATTGAAGAACTTACAGCCAGCCTTCTGCATCGACAGGTACATCCATCCACCAGGTGCGCCAGGCATGGAAGTACTTTTTGCTCATATTTTCATATGGGACTTCATACCAAACACCACCTCCATCGTTGCTGACTTCGACTCGCTCCGGCCAGCCGCTACCACTGTATGCCCAGCCAGTCATGCGGATCTTTCCGTCATGGACAATGACATCTTTGTCGACTGGTGTCATGATAGCGCTGGATACTGGCATAGTCTGAATACTGAAGCCATTGCTGTACGTTACGTTCTGCTTCCCCTTTTGAGGAGTGTAGTATAGGTATTCCTTCATCTGGACTGGGGCCAGGGACGGGTTCTCAATGACGTTGATACGTGTTAGCCATTTACAGCTTCTTGCTCCAATGTAACCCATCACAACTGCACGGAGGGGTGCTCCGTGAATGGCAGGCAGTGGCTCCCCATTCATCTCCCAGGCAAGAATGACCTCATTGATGTTGACCTTGCGGGTTGGTACCGACACAGCGTAGTTGTAGACCTGTCCCTTCTTGAAGTATGTGTCGGCACCAAAGAACTCCACATGCTTTCCCTCTGGCTTTATACCACAGTATCTAAGGACCTTCTTCAGACTGACACCAACATAGCGGGCAGTACCAATGGCTCCCTCGCCCCAGGGTGCGTTGATGAGTTCGTCGCCGTCTCCGGGATAGTCGTGAATTTGTTCGATACGACGCGTACCACTGCATTGGAGGGTGATAACGGTATTCATGCGTGGAAATATGCTTTCGTCCTGAAGCTCCTTCAAGGTTATCTTCTTCGGCGTGTCGACCAGACCTTCAACTTCGAAGTAGTACTTCTCGGGATCAATCTCAGGGACACCGCCATGGTTTCGAATGTAGTGGTCTTTGTTGTCGGTGATCTCGGTCTCGACTAATCGCTTTCGGGGTGGTTCGCCATTGTAAGGGAACTCCAAGACGTGCACCATGTCCTCGCTTTTTTCCTTCTTGACATAGTCCCATGAGATGGCTGGCAGGTCCTTTGTAGTCTTTCCCAGAGCATAGTGATAGTACTTCCAGCGCACACCCTCGAGCACAGGATTGGTCTTGGGGAGCGGGAGCAGCTGGAACTCTGGCGGTACGGGGAAATCATATTTCGCGAGGATCTCTGCTGCCTTTTTCTTCTTCTCAGGGTATCTCTCCCATTCAATGTAACCCTTCCATCCTTCTCGCTCTTCGGGAAAGTCGGGTTCCTCGGATGTCAAAAGCACAAAAGGCTCTGCGTGCGGTTCAGCGGGCGCCATTGTCAATGTACAAGGTGTGAAGATGGTAACGTCCAGAACTGCCCAGTATTAGCCTGGGGAAACACCCACTAAGTACCGCGATACTGATAGCCCCGCCAGCTCGAGTACCACATGTCACAATAACAGGTTAATTGCTCATTAAGCGTGGGGCATGCCATTTTGTCACAGTGCTTGCTGCAGGCAACCCATGTATGGCGCTCGACTAGCAGATGGAATCTTTATGTGGGCGAATCAGAAGTTCAGTGACATTTGTAATGCAACATACGAAGCACACTTTTGATATACGACTGCGTCACGATGATGGGTACTAGGATAGCTGTCGTGCAGGGGTTGAGACATGTCA